TCCATGTTGGGAGAAGAGTTCTCCCACATACGAAGCTGTAAATGGAATATAATATATAACATATAGTAGTATGTTTTATGTACTTAAAAAATGAATAGCGTGGAAGGCGCGCTATGATTGGCTACTCAAACCCCGAATATCCCGAGCTATTCAACTCAGAGCAACTCGCGCGGGATTTACGCCCGAAAATGTTGTAATCGTTGCAGGAACAAATGAGTTAAAATCATCTCACTGTGTTACATTATCTCACCTTTTAAATATATACTGAAAAACTATTCGCCTCATTGTCAGTGGCTAACGGTAGATATTTACCTCGCTACTGTCAGACCTTTCCCAATTTTTCTCGGTAACTTTTGAGAAACTTTTGACGTTTGGTTCTCGACATCGAACAATTTCTGCCTGTTTTGAGTGAAATATAGGAAGAACGAAAAGTCAACGATTTCATAGAAAACTTCGATTTATGAAAATTTGTTGAACGATTATCAACCTTTTTTAACACAAATGAATTAACCAACTGTTTTGTTCTGCTAGAGTTAAGAGTATCCTTAAGTTTTGCCCATATTTGCGTGCAACTCTTTAAAGCTAATTTTTAAGCTACTTTCCATGACCGATGTTGGCAATCACCACGAAGATCAAATAATCAAGCTTTTAATTAACGTATAAAGGTACCAAAAAATTTAGTCAGCAAGTTTTTGATTTTGGGAAATTTTTGGCAATATTTGGTAAGTCTTGGCAACTTTTCAGTATTTTGCGAGCAAAATCGCGACAGGCCTAGCCGCTGCATGTCTCGGTACTTGAAATATCCGCCACCAGCCACCTCCAGAACGGTGAGTAGTTGTTTAAAATTATCCCAAGCATTTTCTAACTTAGAGAACCCTGAGACGGTTTTCATAACAACCAACCTAAGTTCAGAGTATGAACTGCCCACACATATCGGTTAGCCACATCTCTAGAGCTTTGGTACTTTTACTTTATTCTTACCGAGTTGTTGTGGGCGTTATAAGGAATAACGCTGTTCCTTATTATTCAAATATAAAATTGCTGCCATTAATCTGATGGTTACTATGACCTCGTTAAAACTTCGTAAGATAAGCCCACTTGAAGTTGTGCCAGGGTTGTGCCCTCTATAGTTCTGTTCAAAATTTTGGAAAATAGGAGGAGGCATTGGCATCAGTCTAAAGTTAACAGTGCTTTCTCGTGATATTCTTTAGCCTTCTGATATTCACCATGTGACTTAAACAACAATGTGTAATGTCAGCTAATTTTTTCAGTTGGATACGAGTGATTAGCGTTTGCGGCTAAACTCATGAAACAATTAATTCTGAACAAAGTGAGCTGGAGTAATAAAAAATAACAAATTTTGAGACCCTGTACAATAGGATTCGACACGTGCAGCTCTCGCTCGTATATTTCCGTTGGGAAAATTGGTAAAATTTCCGCACAGCCCCATACTACATTATGCATTCAGTTCTTGGATGGAGGAAACAATGAAAAAAACAATACATTGCCATTGGGAAAACAGATTTGTTTTACAATAGTATGGGGCTGTGCGGAAATTTTAAAAATTCACCAGATGGCATAACAATATACAAAACAGTTTAAAATTAGTTCTTATCAATACTGATTCTTTCTGATGTTTTATGTGTGCGCGCCTAATTCAAATTAAATGTGCTTCAGTGAAACCTATAGTCGATGTCTAGAAGTATTCGTTAATATCATTTCATAGATTGTGAAAAATTTTTTCCTGTCTTTTTTACAAGCGTCGTAAAACTTGCTCCGTCGCTGATGAATGCAAATAATATAGTGTTATTACAAAGTAAGGACTTGATCCGTAGAAAAAAAGAAACGTTGAAAAGCTAAGACTACAATACCACCACTTTGTTATTTTCTCATAACATAAAAAGTAAAGGACTGGAGCTCGTGCATTTTAAATCAGACTGTTCTGCTTTTAAAAATTTTATTTTCCCCGTCTCTGTTTTAACCCTCTAACTGTCAGAGGTGATTCACAAGTAATTTCTCCTTTTATGATATTAAAATATCAAAACATAACATTTGAAAAGGCGATGAGATCAATAACAAAAAATGACCATCTTAAGGATGTCATCTTGATCCAACATCAAATTCTTTAAGAGAACCACTAATCAGATCTTGGAGGTGAGAGTTTGAGGCGGTGAAAACCAATTAATTTTGCCTACAGAAAGTAAAGAAAAGTCTTCCTGAATTTCTGAGATTGTTTGGATCCCAACCAAGTTTAATGTGTTGGCTGTGTGACTACAGAAACCAAAAGTAAGAATCTGAAATAACACCAGTAAAGGAAGGATGGATGCAAAAAGCTAGAATCACTCGGATGAAGAACAAAATATTAACTTGACTGGTAAAATAATCATAAAAGATCTAAGTCCATATAGACTATGTCGACTATTGCAGCCCAAAAAATTTTCACCGGTTCAAAGATTGCTCTCACTAATAAATCCGTCGTTGCCAAATGTAATCAAGTTCATTTCAGAAATATGTCAGAACTGAGAAAGAGAGGACAATATCGATGAATTAGTTTATTTAGCTGCTAACCTTATGAAAACGTGACACTTAAGGCTCGCCGAGTTTAGTATTCCGGCCGTTTGACGAATGAAACCAGAATCAAAAAACTCCCTGAAAAACAAAGATGGATGCAAACAGCTGGTGTTATTACAAAGGATTAACTTCTGATCGGCTCAAAAACATGGATGAAGTCATGTTAAAGTGGATGAAAAGTAAAAATTGCTCAACTTCTGAGAATTTTTGTATTTCTGAGTCCTCTGTCACAAAATTTCATCGAGTTCCAGTCCAGAATATTTCAGTTTTCAGAGATGAACTGAATTTCTTTCCAGCTTCTTACCTAGAAAAAAAAGAGTTGTGTCTTTTTTCAGTGTTCTGATGGTATGACTATTGAAACTAAATTGAAGATACTGAAATAAAAATTTCCCTGGGGCGAAAACAAAGATTGTTAAAAATAACTTAAGTGAGGACATATTACAATCCTAATCAGTTAAAAAGAAATAATAATGATAATAACAAAAATCATACATATTGTGAGCAGAGCATTGGATGTACATGTATCCGTAGTGCATTTCTGTATACTTTGTCATTTTTTTTTTAAGTAACAACGTGAAATAGCCAAGTATTTCATCTGAGTTTAAGATCTGGGACATTCCCCGCTTTTTTTTTTTTTAATTAAACAATCCAAAAAACCAAAAGGAGGTTTAACGACATGCAGTGAATATTTCTGAGCATTTTAAAAATCCGCTCTCAAGATAATTTTGAATGGGGAACAATCTTCGTTTCTAGACACAAATCAGGTTGTCTGTCAGTGATTTCAGACAGACGTTTTCGAACTGTTTTGACCAGCTCCAGATAAGTATTAACACTTAATTCGTTTTAAAAAAACAGTGCGGTGTTAAATGTCAACCTATATATGGTGCTTGTGTTTGAGAGTTATTTTCCACGATCTGATCACGTATGTCCCCCCTTTGCTGTCCTCATAAAGGTCGTCATGATAACATAAAAAACGGTCCACTCCACTTTTTTATTATAGAATATCGCATGCCAGTCATGCGAATGGCAGCTTTTCGTATGCACGACTGTCAAAGAGTCGTCAGTGTATGACTCCGACGGCATGATCGATGTCGATGTTACATCTTAAGGTAGCCGATTGTAAGTAACAATCGTGCCGTGTTAATCTGCCTTAGCGATTTATTTATATCAAGAGCCCTTGTGTTGTTTATTGCGAATTTCCTTTCTTGCTTTACCAAGATTTAGAAATGTAGATGAACTATCATTAACATCACGTCCCTCGGCCGCTCTTCAAAGCGTTGGTATACTAATCCCTCAGTTGATAATCCCCTAAATAATAGTTCGTTTGAAGGCAGAAGTAATTATAGATAAAGGCTTGGAAATATGTGTTGTAAAACTTCCTCACAGTGAGTAGATGATGCAACAAATTATTAATCACACATTACACTTACCACAGTTTGAATTCTGAACGTTTGCTTGTTTTGTGAAGTGAAACAACCAACTTTAGAAATCAAATCATCAGCTTATGTCTAAGTGCTAATGCCGATGGCAGATTTAGGCCCACCTATAAGGTGGCAAGATGGAAGGCTCCCCGCTAGAACTTCCTAGTATACTGCACTTTACAACCTGACGACCTGACGAATGGAAGCCTGGGAGAAGTCCTCATTAATTGGGGAGCCAGAGGACTCCAGTGTGTTCTTTTAAGCCTCTAGTTTATTTGTGGCGGTCTAACACGTGTATGGTTCTTCATGGGAAATCACCAATAACACATCATCAGCTCGTTTAACCCCTTGCACACTAACATCAGCATCCATATTCTCCACACTCTTCTCTACGTCTTATTTGGCACTGATAAGGTGGAAGGACTGGGTACGAGACTACATACAACTCATACTCAGGTTTAATGCCCAGTGGGATCTCAAAGTAAAACAACCAAGCAGCTGAAAGCGCGGGAAAACGTACGTTGCCAAGTCGCGATTGATGTTTAGCCCTGGATCTGATTGGTCGTGAGGATGGTGCGAGTTTTTCCTGACCAATCACAGAGCTTATTTAAGATATGCAAAGATAGTCTAGATTTTGTACGTAGGACACTCAATTGGATTTTGCTAAAAACCTTTAGTTTGATATAGATTAGTTCAAGAATAGTCATAGCTTGTATCTAGGCTTCCTTAACATTTCAAATCATGGAGGATAATTGTAAATACAAAGTTTTGTCGTTTCTGTGATTTCATTTATTAGGATGTGAAATAATTTGTCTTTTGAAATGCATCCTTGTAGAATACTCCATTCGGACAGTTTTCCGCCGGTTGCTATCTACGTGCTCTTGTGAATGTGTTGCGTATGTTTTTGATGTCGGTGCTGTGCGTTTTTCCTTGAAAGAAAGCGCTAACTTTGGAGATAACTATAGATAAGAGCGAATCCGACTCCTCGTCTAAAGGGCCGTAGCTAGCATGAGGCAAGACGAGGCAACTGCCTCGTCTTGATTTTGGCCCAAGATTGACTTTTCTGAAGAAAAATTCCACGAGAAATGCTTAAAAGAGCATTTCTGAGCCTCTTAGATTTCAAAATTTTCTGGAGGGGCATGCCCTCAGACCCCCCTGGCGGCTCGCGCCTTCGGCGCTCGAAACTTGCCTCGTCTTGTTCTGAAGTCTGACTACAGCCGTGGTCTAGTTTGTAAATTATTTCGCGCGACTCTACCTTTACTTTTTCTGCTGTCACTGTGTTTGTCTGTCACCTTTCTGTTTGATCACTCAAACGAAAGCTACGGAGAAGCCCTTTCATGTGGAACTGTTTATTCTGCTGTCACAGAGTTGTAGTGCAGTCGTTGAAAACCTTGTTCTATTCTCCAACGTGTTTGTTCTGATTGTCTTAGACTTAGTGTTTTTTTTGCCGATGGTGAAGAATGGTACAAGCTACGAAGCGTCCTGAGCAAAAGAATGCTTCGACCGAAAGAAGTCGCCGACTATACTCCGGATTTCAATAAAATTATGAGCGATTTTATTCACCGATGACGATCAGTTCGAGAACCTAGTGGGTCAGAGAAAGAAAACGAAGTTTGTGAACTTGATAATGAACTTTTCAAATGGTCGTTTGAGTCTGTGGCGGAGATGTTGTTTGACAAAAGGTTTGGTTGTCTTGAAGAGGAAATCAACAGAGAGGCACAGACCTTCATAAAAGCCGTCGGAGATTTTCTGGCGAACGCGGTCGAAGTCGGTTTTTTGCCTACTTGGTTTTACAAGACCTACGTGACCCAGAAATTTAAAAATTTTGTCGATAATTTTGACACGATGTATTATTACGCCGAATTATTTATCGAGAGAAGAATCAACGAACTGGCGGAGAATTCATGCAAGCCATCAGAGGAAACAGAGCGCGACCGAGCCGGCTTCTTCGAGTTCCTCCTGGCCAGCGGAAAGTTCATGAAGGATGACCTGTTGGCGAGCGTAATCGATGTTCTGTTCGCCGGAGTTGACACTACGTCCAACACGATGCAATGGGTTCTTTATATGTTGGCCAAAAATAGGAATGAAATAGGGCTTGTAGGGATGAAAGTATAGTCTCTCTGTTTTTTTTCCCTATGGCAACATATATAACGCCCTACTTCTATGTATCGAGCACTGTAAAACAGACAAATCAATACATAGACCTCCTATATGTATGTATATATATGTATGTATATATTTGTGTATTTCAAATACTTTTTTACTTTTTAACGGTCTTATGAACTATTCTTCTCGCATGCAAATTTTTGTCACACGCAAATTTATTTTGTATTCTCTCAGTTTTCACTGTTCATTTATTGTCTTGCAAATCACAGATATGGCACAAAAATAGCAGATGAAAAATCTGTTGAGTTTTTTTTGGTCAACAAAATGGAATTCCCGACATGATTTTCCTTTGATAGCAAAATAGTAGTGGCAGAGTGAAAGTTTAGGATAACAAGTATACAAAAGTATCTATAAGCACACAAGAGTCTGTGTGAGGATACAACAGTATCTATGCATAGGGGTATCAATTAACCCTTTACTCCCTAAGATCAGTATACATATTTTTCATACTGTTTTTGATACATCTCCTAAGGTGCTGACAAGGAGATTGTGCTTAACAGTCAAAAGCTACCGTGCTTTTTGATCATTTTCATTATTCTTGTGACCTTAGTGTTTGATTCAGGAGAGATATTGTAAGAAGAAATTAGATGCTGGTCACTCTTTGGGGTATCTATGAAAATGCAATGGTTTGCATTATCATACATGAGTATCTCTTTTTTTTCTTTTCTTTAAATGTGTTTATTTTGGCATGTTAAACCACAATATTTCTTGTCAAAAGCCTTGCCAGAAATTTCAAAATATTTAAGCCTAGAAAAAACTTCTTTCCAAGTCACACATTTGTATAAAAGTCTCTTGAATTGACAGACTAATCACCTTTGAAGAAGGATTAGAAATTTTCTTTCTTTGAAGAACTAATTGCGTTTGAAACCTTAAAATTGTCACACTTCGCTTGGCTTGTTCACTGAACCAATGAGTCAACAAAAAAATGGAGTTTTTTAACTTCGGAACTCTTATAAAGAGATAACATTATTCGCTGTCTTGTTTCAGATTATTAAACTAAGATGTCCGATGAGCATTTTTCAGAAATGCTTTTCACTGGTATCGATCCGAGCTGTCCTTCGCAGATGAAGTCCTCCTTCTACAGGCTAGTAATCAAGTAGTTCCAAGCTTAACTAAGTCTAATTTATTCAACTACAGAGGTTTTATCAAAGTCATGGCTCTTGAGGTGCGTCAGGCACCGGCCAATTTCCAAAATCAAATGTCACGTTGTCGCCCATGATCATGAATGGCGCCCATTGAGAAACTTTGTCAAAGCCGTTATTTCTCATCCACTTCCTGGCCTTGTGGAGAGATTCACTGGCGCTTTCACCGCGGAACAAATATTTGTAGAAGCAAATCATGAACTGCTCTGTGGCTGTGTCATTCAGGGCCCATCGTGCCGCTAACACTGAACGAGCTCCGGCTCCTAAGAACGCTCGGGCAATTCCAATAACTCCCTCAGTTCGAATCTGTCCACGAGCACTGTGACAACAACTAAGCACCA